CCTATCCCCTCCTCCCACCTCAAGCCCCACCCCCATTTCCTACCTACTAACCTCATCCCGCCTCCTTGACCTGTCCGTCCTCCCTGGACCGACTTATTCCCTCCCTAACTCCTCACCTACACTCTCCTTTACTGGATCCAACCCCGCCTCCTTGACCTGTCTGTCTCCTCTCCACCTATCTTCTCCTTTATCCGTCTTCTATCCGCCTCCCCCTTTCTCCTTATTTATTTCAGAATTCCCTTCCCCTCCCCCATTTCTGAAGAAGGGTCTAGACCCGAAACGTTAGCTTTCCTGCTCCTCTGATGCTGCTTGGCCTGCTGTGTTCATCCAGCTCTACGCCTTGTTATCTCACTTCCTCAGCGGAGTTGGAGCTCATGAGAGTAAAGGGAACAGAAGCAACACGGATAGGAAATTGGCTGAGGGACAGGAACCAGGACATTGTGATTTGGTGTTTGAACTGGGGGAAGGTTTATAGTGGGGTTCCCCTGGGCTCTGCGTTAGTACTTCTGCTTTTCCAATCAAGTGTTAATGTGACCTACACTTGGATGTATACAGGGTACAGTTTCAAAATTTTCAGATCTGAATTTAAATTACGAAAAGGGTGATAATAATAATAGAGGGCATATGCTGATGGAATGGGCATAATGGTGACATTTGATTCAGAGAGGTTGGAGGTGATTCATTCTTGTAGATTCTAAAACTGGTTCAGGTGCGGACAGACCTGGAGTAAATGCACACAGTTCAGTTTAAAGGTTGCCAGGCAAATTGAGCAAGTAGTTAATAAAGCATACAGGATCCCGGGATTTGTCAAGAGCGTGAAAACAAGGAAGATGCTAAACTTGCCGTGGGATCCACACTTTAGGAAGAGTGGGAAACTTTGGAGAGGATGCAGAAAATCATTTGTGAGAATGTGTTTCTGGAGACGAGGAACTTTAAGGTGCTTACTTGGGCAAGATTGGAGAAATAGTGACTGTTCTCCTTGGCGAGGAGATTTGATCAAAGTTCAAAATCATGATGGGTGTGGGTTGAGTAGATGGAGAGAAACTGTTCCTGTTTATTTTATAGTCATTCATGGGATGAGGGGTGTCGCTGGCTAGGCAGCATTTATTGCCCAGAGGGCAGTTAAGAGTCAACCACATTGCTGTGGGTCTGGAGTCACATGTAGGCCAAACAAGGTAAGGATGGCAGCTTCCTTCCCTAAAGGACATTAGTGAACCAGATGAGTTTTTCCAACAATTAACAATGGATTAACCACCATCATTAGATTCTTAATACTAGCTATTTATTGAATTCAAATTCCACCATCTGCCGTGGCGGGATTCAAACCCAGGTCCCCAGAACTTTATCTGTGTCTCTGAATTAATAATCCAGCGATAATATCACTGCCTCCGTCCCCCTGTTGGTAAAAGGATTGAGAATACAGCGAGGCAGATTCAAGGTAACAGTCAGAAAAAAAGAACAATAGACACGTGAAAAAGCATATTTTTTGTAGTGAGTCGTTGGGATCTGGAATGTGCTGTTGGAGAGTGTGGTGGAGACAGGTTCAAATGTTTTGTTCAAAAGGGAATTAGGCAATTATTTACAGAGGGGGGGGGAAAATTCAGTGCTACAGGGAAGAGTTAGGGAAGTGAGACTGGATGCATTGCTCTTTGAGAGAGCCAGCTCAGTGAGTTAATGATCTCCTTCTATACTGTGACCACTCAATGATTCTATTCAAGGTGGACGTTGATAATTTTTATAGAAACAAGCAATAGGGCTGAAAGGGGAAATTAAGGTACAATATTAGGGATGACCCTATTGAATGGTAAAACGTGCTTAAAGAAGCTGAATGGCTTACTACTGCTCATGTTTCTTTTGATCTTCAGCAGTGTTCCCTGAAGATCTGAGGATGCTGTCAGCTGAAATATTCAAGCCTGTGATTGCCACATACTTATCTAAGTGCCGGCGTGGTGACCGGGTGGTTAGCACTGCTGCTTCACAGCGCCACAGACCTGGGTTTGATTCCAGCGTCGGGTGACTGTCTGTGTGGAGTTTGCACATTTTCCCTGTGCCTGTGTGGATTTCCTGGGGCTGCTCTAGTTTCCTCCCACTGTTCAGGGATGTGCAGGTTAGGTGAATTAGCCATGGGAAATATAAGGTTGCAGGGATAAGGTAGGGGGTGGGTCTGGGTGGGATGCTCTTTTGAGGGTCAGTATGGACTCCATGGTGGGCTTCCACGCTGTAGGGATTCTACGATTTTATGAGGGCATGGAGTAAGGGCTAAATAGTGTTGATCTAAGATCAGTCATGTTCAAATTGAATATCAGAAAAGTTTTGACAGACTGAACAGGACTTCTCCTGTTGCTTAGTTATTGAGTCCCATTGGCTCCTGGTTTGTACTACAGCCATGTGAGGCAAATTTAACAACTCAGTAATATAGCCTCTTAAAATTGTTCTTCACTTGTGTTTTTGTCGGTACTCATCCTTGTCCCTTGGTCTCCTGTTTCAGGGGTCCTGCCATGGAGTGCCAATCCAGGGAAGATCTGTGGCTTCAATTTAACTTCTGTTTGTAATGCCTCAGAGGTAAGTGATTCCAAACTAATTGATACACCTCAGTTCAGAGTAATCACCTGTTCCCTAAGCAAGGTGCTACCTGAAGCCTGCAGCCAAACCCTTCCATTGATTCACTCACTCTCCTTTGCCCCTTGACTTTGAGGCTTGTCTCTCAATAAGTGACAGGAATGTCTTTTCGTGGCCCAAGTGGGACTTCTCCAGTCTGTATCCAACCCCGTGCTGTGGAGATGGCCAATGTTGTTTCAGGAGTGATCGAACAAAGAGATAATTTGAAGGAAGTAAAGGCATCTTTCACAAAAATGTTCAGAGCACCAGAATTACTGAATGATTAGAAGAGGGAAATGTTCTGCTACAATTAATGAATGGTGATCATGTGTTTCAAAAAGACAACCTTGGGAGACAGAGGAAAAATCTTCTTTTAATTTGCAGAAGACGATCATGTGGAAATGGGAATGATGAGTTAAATGTACAGTTAGTGGTGAAAAGGTAAATTGTAAAAGAATTTTGGAGGCTTCTTTACTGAGTATATACTGAAAGGGATAAAATAATGTACCAATGAATGGAACTTGAGCCTGATTTTGCAGGAGCCGGAAGATGCCCTCTTTTTTACCATCCCTTGAATAGTTGCTTTTCCAGTTTGTAAATGTTCATTCACAAAGTTATCAACCTTATTTTCCTACACATGCTGTTACTTGACCTGGCAATCTTAGATGAATGTAGTGAGCTATACTTTTAGTTTAACAGAGTAGAGAAGCTTTACGCTGTATCTAATTTGGCATTGAGCCTGTTGTGGGAGTGTTTGATGGGGACAGCATGGAGGGAGCTTTATGTTCAATTTATTTTGGTCTAAAAGAATAGAGGCAACTTCGCTCAGTATCGAACCACATGCTATAGCTGTCCTTGGAGTGTTTGATGGGGGCAGAATTGAGGGGCATTTACTTCCTCTTTAACAGTAGAGGAAGTTTTACTCTGTATCTAACCCAATGCTATCCCTTTCTGGGGAGTGTTTGATGGGGAACAGTGTAAAGAAACTTTACTTTCAATATAAAAAAGCAGAGGAAGTTTTACTTTTATGTCTAACCCCATGTTGTCCATGTTCTGGGAGTGTTTGATAGGGATGATGTCGAGGAAGCTTCTCTTTGTATTTAACCCTGTGCTGTACCTATTCCTGAGAGTGTTTGATGGGGACACTGTTGGGGGAGTTTACTTACAGTTTACTTTCAGTTTGAAAGAGTAGAGAGAGCCTGACTTACAATTTAAAAGGGTAGCAGGAGCTTTATTCCAGATTTTGCCAGAATGTCTTTTCCTACTCCATTTTTTGCACAAACCCACTTCCACTGGAATCATTTGCTGGCAAGTGGCTGATGCTTGTGGATTTCAAAGCATTTACAACTTTGGAGGGAACAGAATGTCTGTCTTGCTAGGGCACTTAGCATCACCAGAATTTGCTCAATGAATAGAAGAGCTTCAGATCATTGACTGACTTGCAGTGCAACTTATTCATTCAGTTGCTGTTGTGTTCCATGTTGAATTCTTTTAACTTGTAGGTTTGTGTTTTTGTTGTAGTTTGAATTGACCTACCATTTGTTCATTGCAACATTTGCTGGAGCTGCAGCCACTGTCATTGCTTTGGTAAGTTAACAATATGTAGGTATCAAGAGGATTGGTGAGTGAGTTTTGCTGCACTTGTGGAAAGCGTGAATATTATTTTTGAGAGTTCAGCAATGGTTAATTCTCGTTTTCAGTACCATAAGCAGCAGTCCCTATGGTGTGACGGGGTGTTTATCACAATAACTAAGGAACTTATAGGAGACAGACTAGGGCTAGTCACAGGCTCCGTAGTGATGTAGGGCATATTCATACAATCTACACTTAGTTGCAGGAATGCAATAAACTTCATTGTGGTCGGTCGACAAAACTTTTCTAGTTAGACCAGAAAGGTGGAGATCACTTCAAGCTTAAAAAAGAAGCTCAAAACAACAAAAACCAGGGTGAAACTAAGATGCTTTCTGCTGAAAAGCGATAAAGTACAAAATATGCCAGTTCCTTGCATGTACTTATATCCTTGGCATGTGTTTTGCATTTACACATGTGAATGTGTACTGCTAGCATGCTTGCATATAAAGGACCTGGAGCTCAGCATCAAAACTGGACAATCCTGTTCTGAACGAGAGTATGTGACTGCTGAATAATTTATCTGATTAATCAAAGTCTTATTTACATTTGACTTTCATTTACTGTGCAAACGATTTAATGACTTTTTTTTTCTTCACCTATTTCTACCCTTCTCATCCATAACCTCTCACCTCTTTCCTCCCCTCATGCTCTCAGCTAACCTACATGATGTCCTCTACCTACAACTATGCTGTCCTGAAGTTTATGAGCCAGGATGATTGCTGCACGAAATTCTAACTGAAATCAGAGAATGTAACCGTCATTGCCACCCCCCACCCTGTGTGTGCCTGTGTGTTTCTCTCTCTCTCTCGCTCTCTCTCTTTCTCTCTCTCTTTTTTCCACCTCCGCTCTTCCTCAGCCCTATCCTCCAACCCTACTGCACCACTTTTTTCTCCAGGAAGGTTCGCTGACTGGCCTGTGGTCCTTAAGCACACTGGGTTCCTAACATCAACTTCTCACTGCACACAGATTCTGAGCTCAACGTGTAACCTCCATGTCAACTGAAATAGACTGTAACATTGCGTAAAGAATTCAAATGTCATGCAAGGGAAGCTTTTTAACCATTGAGTTTAAAACTAAAAAGACTCATGTATTCTGACTGATTTATGATAAGAGGGCATGTGTATCTGTAGGAACTCAGGGCTTGAAATTTTGTTTTTTAAAAATAATCTTTTGCAAGTAGTTTGGCTTCTGTTTACCGGCCATAATGTGTGCTCATGGCTTATGCTCTCTTCATGTGTATTTTCACCGGATGTGAAAATAAAAACGCTGGAATCTGACTGGATCAGGATGATGTATATTCCTGTTTCTGTTCATTTTCTAATGATCGTTCACTCTGCAGGCCAGTGTGGGCATTGTGGGCTGAGTGGCCTCCTCTACAGCATATAATTCTATGATTCTCTCTCTGAAACAAATCCTTCAGTATTCACTAACCCTGCAGCCCAAGGACTGGACAGATTCTTCTGGAGGAGAGTTCATGGTTGAAGTTATGTCAGTCTGGGTGTAAGAATGAAATTGAGTTCAATGAGGCCATTCAGAGGGAGCTTTACTCTGTTTCTAACCTTGTGCTGCTCCTGTTGTGGGTGTGTTTAATAGGGACACTCTAGAGGGACATTTATTTTCAGTTTGAAAGGTAGAGGAGCTTTACTCTATACCTAACCCCATGCTGTGTATGTCCTGCTAGTGTGCCATGGAGACAGTAAAAGAGAGCCTTTACTTGCAGTTTAAAGGAGTAGAGGAAGCTTTAGTCTGTATCTAAGCCCGTGCTGTCCCTGTCCTGGGAGTGTTTGGTGCTTTATTTTCAGTTTAAAAGAGTGTACTTTTGCCTGTACCCAACCCCATGCACTACCTAACATAGTCATAGAGATGTACAGCATGGAAACAGACCATTTGGTCCAACTCGTCCATGCTGACCAGATATCCAAAATTAATTTTGTTTTATTTGCCAGCATTTGGCCCATATCCCTCTAAACCCTTCCTATTTATATACCCATTCAGATGCCTTTTAAATGTTGTTATTGTACCAGCCTCCACCACTTCCTCTGGTGGCTCATTCCATACATGCACCACCCTCTCTGCATGAAAAAGTTGCCGCTTAGGTCTGTTCTTTATCTTTCCCCTCTCACCTTAAACCGATATTCTCTGGTTTTGGACTTCCCCATCCTGGGGAAAAGACCTTGGCTATTTACCCTGTCCATGACCCTCATGATTTTATAAACCCCTATAAAGTCACCCCTCTGCCTCCAATGCTCCAGGGTAAATAGCTCCAGCCTATTCTGCCTCTCCCTCTAGCTCAAACCCTCCAACCCTGGCAACATCCTTATAAATCTTTTCTGAATCTTTTCAAGCTTCACAACATCATTTCTATAGCATGGAGACCAGACTTGCACGTAGTATTCAATTGTGGCCTAACAAATGTCCTGTACAGCTTCAACATGACCTCCCAACTCCTATACTCAATGCCCTGACCAATAAAGGCAAGCATATCAAATGCCACCTTCACTATCCTGTCTACCAGCGGCTCCACTTTCAAGGAACTATGAACCTCTACTCCAAGGTCTGTTTATTCAGCAACACTCCCCAGGACCTTACCATTTAAGTGTAAAAGTCCTGCCCTGATTTACCTTTCCAAAGTGTAACACCAGATTTCTCTAAATTAAAATCCACCTGCCACTCCCCAGCCCATTAGTCCATGTGATAAAGATCCTTTGTAGTCTGAGGTAACCTTCATTGCTGTCCATTTACACCTCCAATTTTAGTGCCATCTGCAAACTTCGTGATCATACCTCCTGTGTTCACATCTAAATCATTTACATAAATAACTAAAAGCAGTGGACCCAGCACCGATCCTTGTGGCACACCACTGGTCACGGGCCTCCTATCTGAAACACAACCCTCCACCACCACCCTCTGTCTTCTATCTTTGAGCCAGTTCTATATCCAAACAGCTAGTCCTCCCTGTATTCCATGTGATCTAACTTTGTGAACCAGTCGACCATGAGGAACCTTGTCGAATTCCTTACTGAAGTCCATGTAGATCACATCCGCTGCTTTGCCCTCATCAATCCTCTTCGTTACTTCTTCAAAAAAAACTCAATTAAATTAGACACAATTTTCTACGCACAAAGCCATGTTGACTATCCCTAATCAGAGCTTGCCTTCCCAAATGCATGTAAATCCTGTCCCTCCGGATTCCCTCCAACACTTGCCCACCTCCAATGTCAGGCTCACCAGTCTATAGTTCCCTGGCTTTTCCTTACCACCTTTGTTAAATATTGGCACCATGTTAACCAACTTCCAGTCTTCCAGCACCTCAGCTGTGGCTATCAGTGATACAAATATCTCAGCAAGGGGCCCAGCAGTCTCTTCCCTCGCTTCCCACAGAGTTCTAGGAAAAATCTGATCTGGTCCCAGGGATTTATCCATCTTTATGCGTCTTAAGACATTCAGCATCTCCTCCTCTGTAATATGCACATTTTTCAAGATGTCGCTATTATTTTCCCATGTTCTCTATTCCTCCATATCCTTTTTTACAGTAAACACTGATGCAAAGTACTCATTTAGTATCTCACCCATCTCCTGCGGTTCCACACATAGGTGGCCTTGCTGATCTTTAAGGGGTCCTATTTTCTCCCTAGTTATCCTTTCGTCCTTAATATATTTGGAGCATTCCTTTGGATTTTCCTTAACCCTATTTGTCCAGGGACTATTTAATGGAGAAAGTGTCCTGAGTCATATTTCCCATCTCTGTTATATTTAATGATCACATTGGCTCCTGCCACTTGTACAATTCCAGTCTGTCCAGTCTACTTGTTTTCATTAATAGATGCATCACCTTGTGGTGTTATTGAAGGCAATATCCAAGAAATGCACTGGGCTCAAGAGGTCAATGGAAAAAGTAATGAGATTTTTGGATGCTCACCTTGCTGTGGGTTTCATGCATGTTAATACCAATGAGGAAATGGGATCACTCTGAGTTACAGTTTTGAGTTCTGCATGCCCAATGCTGTGTCAATGACTGGATTCAAATCTTTCTTTCAGAGAACAGGGATTGAGGTTGTGCAGCCTGGGCCCAGTTCATCGATAGAAACTCTCTCCTCTCTGATCTCGCTCAGGCCCCTGTGCATTAACATCCCTGTTGGAGCAGATTACGTTGATGGAGTTTGGCAGGAGAAGGTGATCTCTGCATGTGGCCTTTCCTTGCTTTTAGCGTTGTTAAATTTAGTGGCCCCGTCATCTTAGAGTGTGTACTTGTCATCTGTGTAACTCAGTCCTGTCGATTCACTGTGTTGAAGAGACTCCAGCCCCAGTTGGAGGTTGATGTGGGCTTGAAATGTATGGGGGTGTTAGGAAGAGAAGCTGGATTTGTGTCTCTACGTAAGTGTCTCTGTGCTGCCTGTGTGTTATGAAAATGTCAGTTTCTCAGTCTCCGACTTCGTCGCTGTGGAGTTGGGAGGTCATGTTGCGGCTGTACAGGACATTGGTTAGGCCACTTTTGGAATTCTGCACGCAATTCTGGTCCCCCTGTTATAGGAAAGATGTTATTCAACTTGAAACGGTTTGGAACAGATTTACACGGACGTTGCCAGTGTTGGATGATTTGAGCTGTAGGGAGAGGCTGATTAGGCTGGAGCTATTTACCCTGGAGTGTCGGAGGCTGAGGGGTGGCCTTCTAGAGGTTTATAAAATCATGAGGGACATGGGTAGGGTGAACAGACAAGGTCTTTTTCCTAGGGTGGGAGAGTCCAACAGAGGAGTGCATGGGTTTAAGGTGAGAGGGGAAAGATTTAAAAGGGACCTAAGGGGCAACTTTTTCATGCAGAGGGTGGTGTATGTATGGAATGAGCTGTCAGAGGAAGTGATGGAGGCTAGATAAATTTACAACATTTAAACGGCATCTGAATGGGTAGATGAATAGGAATGGTTTAAAGGGATATGGGGCAAATGCTGGCAAATGGAACTAGATTTATTTAGGATATCTGGTTGTTATGGATGAGTTGGACTGAAGGGTCTGTTTCCATGCTGTACAGCTCTATGACTCTGTCTCTCTGTCATTGTCATTGTCTACATGCATTGGAGTCTCCTGTGTGTGTGTGTGTGTGTGTGTGTGTGTGTGTGTGTGTGTGTGTGT